CCAATCAGTGGCTCAGCTCCAGCATGGCCTGCCCACCATCTTCTTCCCCCCTGACTTCCCTAAATCTCCCTGCAGTGACATTTCAAAACTATTTGATGATGCTAAAATTGCTGTTATGAATGTCACAACACTTGCTTCATTCAACCCCTCAGCCAAAATCACCTGCCACAGTATCTCCCTTTTCACCCAACTTCCTGAAGCCCGCAAAGAAGCTGAAGTTCTCCTCGCAGCTTTTGTTGAAACACTTTCCCATTATTATCTTGATGCAGAAGTGGAAAACTCCTACTATGCTGACCTCAGTCCCCACTATGCAGATGCCCCAACGCCCTGGCTCTCTGCTCTGATCTGGTACTGTAACCAACACCCCTTGATTGAGGTGGGTCTTTCTGAAAACCAACCCCCTGACCCCTCCTCACCCTCTGCCATGGTGGGTTAAGCAGTTTCTGCTTCCCACCTGGTTAGTAGTTTGTTTTGCCATTTTGAGTGTTGTGATTGGTACTGTCCATCCCCTGGTCAGCGTACCTTGAATAAATCTAGTATTTAAATCATCTCAAATCTTGAAGTAAGTCAGATGAGGAATCCATTATAAGCTAGGTGCATCTGAATTAGTAATATAGGCTGTTGACCTATTGGGTCATTCAACACTCACCTCGCTTCAATGTGAGGGCAGATGGTGAAGTGACAGCTGGGAAGATGAACCTATGAGGCAACAATTTTATCAATTTTACCTAATCATTGGTCATGAAAATATTTTCACCTTTTGGGACCCCTTCCAACCCTATAAAAGGGGTCAGTTTCCATGGTGTTAGTTGTACTAAATGTGCTGTAAGAGGGGGAGGGATCTCAGAATGGCTCCCCAGATTCAGCTGACAATTTGTTGCAATCCAACTGCCTGAACTTGTGTTATTTGCCCAAGTAATAATAGAAGTGTTACCCTGATTCAAAGGGTTCCACTGGGAATCAACCAAGGTCTTTTGGCTGATGTTTTCATTAATTACCTCCAAACCACTCTTATTTATACTTGGACTTATAATTGCCTGACATTGGCAAACATAAGGCTAAGAATCTCTGCATAACTAAGTCATTGAGTATAACTATGTATAAGACATACTATCTCATGAACAAATGAACCAAAAATCTTTATAACTTGGCACAAATACTCTATAAATATTGGGAATAGTGATAGACTATTTTCTAAAAAAATCAATAATTTTAATAAAAGTTATATATATATATAATATAAGAATATACAATTCTTCTGATAATATTATATCATTTTCAGCTGAGTTTTTTGTAGTGTTCATTTAATTCAGTAGTCATAGGTTTTGATAAGTGGTTGTGTTAGTTTTGGTTGTTTTATATTTAACAATTTGTTTTGCTGAGTGGTTAGTGTTTTTAGTTGATAAAAAAGTTTTATTGGTTTTGGCTAAATGGTTAATGATTTAGTTAATTCAATAGGTTTAATGATTTCCAAACTTATTGATGTCCATCTACCAATATAAAAGCTAAAATAGTTGATTTAAATCATCTGGTAAGTTATAAATACTATAGCAAAGCATGGGTATTCCTCTAGTCTACTTAATAAAACTCCAACACTGACTGGCAGATATTTATCACTGGATAAACTTAATTCCAGAATTTTCAAAGCAATAGTTTCAAACTCAAATTTTATTAAAATATATCAGAAGCAATAGTAGTCAATCTACTTAATAAAACTCTAACATTGACTGACTGACTGACAATGCACAGCCTAAACTGGTAGGTCTAGAAGCATGAAATTTTGCACAGGAGTTGCTTACATAACGTAGGTGAGCGCTGTTAGATTTTGATGGTTGACTCAAAAATAAACCCTTTGAGAAAACTATCAATGCTGATAGGTTACTTCCATTGATGGATCCTTTGATCCTCCTGATTCATCTGTATAATTTGATAAATCAGATTCACCTCATAACTGCTCTAATTGTATCTGAGGTGCCCAATTATCATAGCTAATAATAGCTATGATATTATTATAATATGGCTGATTATGGGGTACACTTGGGTGCGAAGTGGTCCCACGGCATTAACTAAATTGTACCTCCTAAATTAGTGCATTAATCTTAATGCACTAAGGTGGAAGTTGGGTTCAATTAATAAAATCGATAATTAAGCACTTAAACATAGATGTCCCGATTATGGGCATACTTAGTGCTATTGAGAGGCCTGCCAACATCCCAAATTGGGGTGCATCATCTTTTATGATCATATATTTTTATTCCCCATTTATTGTTAGATATCAAGTTATGATGTAGCTCTAATCAGGAAGATTTTGATGTTGAGTTCAAAACCCAGTCATCCTGATTATGAGAGTAAAATTGCCTCCAATTGGGCTGAAACGATTGTTATTTTTAGTCAATTCATGGGCCGAATTGACTTGGGGATTTTTTATAATTATTGCCATGACCAGCAGAGGATTGGCATAATATGAATGAACTCATCTAATAGATGAGTTCAGCCAGGAGATGCCCAAGAGGTATATAATACCGGCGCCTGGCTGATTAATAAAACATCAATTAATCATCATTTACTAGTTTATTGATCATTAATAACTACTGTCACTTAGTTTATTAATTATTATCCATCTGTCATCTATCAGATATTTGTATCTGTTGCCGTTACATCTATAGTAGATAGTTGTGTATGTTTATTCTTCCCAAAGAGAAGTATATAGTTGCCTGCCAGAGAAGTAGTCCCAATTATAGAGGAATAATTTCCTGATTTTGTACAAAGACAGAAGGTCTTGTATTTATTGGTGCCAGTAGACTTAAGAATGGTGAGCATACCGGAGTTACTTAGCTATTATCGAGGATTATTAGAGAATCTACTTCCCGATTATGAGCAGGAGTTTCATTTGAAAAGTGAGTTTATATCCTCAATTTCACTGTTAAGTTATTTTAGCTTGCACCATCAGCTGAAAACTTAACAAGCGCTAAGAGAGTATTTTTAAAAATTCATCCCCTAAGGGGTTAAATAGGGGATGAGAGTTTGTATGGAACTTTATCATTTTGGAAGTAAGAAATATGGAAATTGGTGTTTAGGCTTCTGTTAATAAATAGAAGTCAGTTGTATCAGCGTTTTCAGAAATTTATCCCCTAGGGGGGTAAAGATACAAAAGTTTGTATGGGAAGTGTATCATTTTTGAAGTTAAAAATGTAGAATTTGGTATTTAGGTTTCTGAAGAACTTCAAAAGTAAGTACCTAATATAAAAAATAAGTTTTGACTGATTTAAAGGTTGATTTATCAAAAAGGAAATATCATAAATCAATCTGAAAATAAAAGTATGAAACATACTTAGAAACTGATGAGGAAGAAATATATTCAGAGATATTTATGATGAAACATATGTAATGCAATAAAATATTGAAAGTATTAACTTTAAATAAATATTCTCATTTCAAAAATTAGATGTGCTTTTTTATAAATCAGCCCTCTAAAAACTGAAATTAACCCTTTCGGTCATTTTCAAAAAAATCATCCGTTTTTTTGGCCTTAAATTTGGCACGAATTTCTTAGCCGGCGTTCACTCTTTTTGTAATCATTTTGGTCATTGTCTGTAACATAAATATCTGGTAGCTTTGGTCTTTGTTCGTAACAAATTTTGGTAAATTTGGTCCTTGTCCTTAACACGAATATTCGACAAATTTTGAAATAGATCTATATAAATCTTATTTTAATTGGATGCATATATACATTTTTAGATTTACATGCCCCTCGATTTTTGGACGCATATATGCATTTTTAGATTTATATCACCCCCTTTTTTGGACGCATATATGCGTCGAATGATTGAAAGGGTTAAGTAATTTATTTTAAAAAACTGTTTGCTTAAACAAGGAATCTGTCACGGTCGGAAATGTCCCAGTTTCCGATCGCCATCTTGCCTTAGATTCGACGCGATCGACGCCGAATGTCCAATTTGAGCTGGACTCTCGAGGTAAGTGTTAGCGCCTCATACAACTAACCCACTAAACCTCGGAATTAGGGAAATTCGAAGCGAGACAAAGACGAAATAAGTAAGCGAGGTTGCAAACCCCAGAATTAACCTTATTTTATAATTGAATAAAGAGTCGCGGACTATCAGGATCCAGATAATCTGGAGCCGCGAACATAACAAGGGAAAAGACAGAGTAATCGGAGGGAGGAGGACCCCGAAAACCCAAGTTTTTGTTAACGCGATAAAAACTTGTGTCGCGGAACACCAGGTAAGACAAGGTAAGGGCGGTCCTGAGGCCACCAGAGAGAACCCACACGAGAGTGGGAACCGAGAGAGAATTCCAAACGAAGTTCGGAATTGCGCGGGCTCGATCTTTAAGGTCGCCCTTCCAGGACCTTGCCCAAACCCGACCAAACTAAAATCTTTTTAAACGAATCGGCTCGGGGTTCGGAAAATCCGAACCCGAGCCGAAATGCAACGATCGGTCGAAACCGACCGTTACAGAATCGAACTGGCCTTTAGACAACAAATACATTACCCTGCCTTTTATGGCACTAATGGATTTACACAATAATGAAGATCAAATACTTTTGAGAAATATTATGCATTTAATTAGAGAAAATTCACATTTCATGGTTTTCAGACTAATATCATATAGGACTTTTATTTATTGTTTACTATAAATAATAAATTACTGGCCAGATACTGGACCCATCCTTACAAAATTGAAATGGGACCTAAGTGTGAGAATTCTCTTTCATTTTTAAAATTCATCCAATTTGTCCAGTATTTTCAGAGTTATGCGCGAACAAACATAGAAAAAATCATACATGCATATATATAGGCCAAATTGAGAACCTACTCCTTTTTCCGAAGTCAGTTAAAAACAATTGATCAGATTCATGTGGTAAATTACAAACGCAGCAAAGCTGGGTTACTTGGGTCATTATAGATAAAATATGCTTTAAAGCAGAAGATAAACATTGTATATAGTATATAATATCTATACATCATGATACTCTTTAAGCTTCTTGGCGCAGTTGGCAACGCGTCAGTCTCATAATCTTAAGGTCACCAGTTCAACCTGGCAAAAAGCAATGAATTACATTATAACAACCTCATTTTTATAGCTTTTTATTTTAATAATATTCTTTATCCAAATGCTTATATGTCAATAATTGGGTTATTTTATATGAATTTACTTGTTTGTTTGAGTTATTCTGGCCATGGGATAGACATCCCCCCAAAAGATAAATTAATCTGAAATGCCCATATGTGCAAATTGGCATAGAGTCTAAACAAAAATAATAGAACCCAAATAGGTAGCAACAGTAAACTACTAGCCAGCCATAGTGGAGGGGGAGTGAGAACATGGGGCGCTTCTTTGGCATCATCATCTTCATGAAGCAAGATATGGGCCAAGGCAGAAAGTAATGATGTGGGGGCATCTATCATATAACATTTCAAATCTCCCATAAGATGACCAGGATAAAGACCATGTGCCTTGCCATAGACACCAAAATAGTTGGCAAGGTTGTGTTCATCTTGTATATTGGTGTCAGGGAGCTTATAAAAGGTGGAAATATTGGTATATGTAGTTTTAGCTTTATGGTTTTTTTGCCACTGCCATGACATTCAGGATGAAGTTGTTGGCCAGTTTGTGCAAATTGAAGGAGGGCCCACTTACCTACAGTGGTAAGGGTATCTGTAACAGTAAGAAAGAGGAGACCCACCACAAGCAATGAAAATGACTTAGCTACAGTTTTATGAAGAGGACAGCAGTTGGGTGAGGCAACCATATCATTAGCAAGCTGATGGTTAGATTAAAATAGCTAGCATTTGTTTGGGGTGAAAAAAGCAAGAAGGGAATTTACCTTAGAAATCTTGATTCAAAAACCATTTATGGTAAGATTGGTCAGTTCAATGGGATCCCCAGATCCCAAAATCTCAGCCAATAAGGACCATATGGTTTTATTAAATAAACTGGGGTATTTACATATGTGAGATTTGGTGGGTAAATGGGAGGAGAGTGGGAGTGAATAGTGTTGGAATTCAGGTTTCACTAAGCTTGATAGTGCTGTTTCCATCTGAATTTCAACAATTTTATGCAGGAGAATTGATACTCTCAACTACTAATAACCATTGTAAGGGTCATTTTATTACTTAAATTTAAAATATAACCCTTTTAAAAATACTGCAAGTTTGGGTTTTTCTGTCCATTACAATAATTGTAATGGACAGAAAAACCCCATTTCTGACTGCTGTATAATCAAACAATTCTTCAGTGCACTGACAGTCAACCAAAGAAGCCTAACCAAGTAGGGAGAGTTTTGGGGCACTGACAGCGCCAAACATTCACCTACTATTGGTTGGTTATGCCAAATCCTCTGGGGGGGATTGGTCCAAAACCAACCTAAACAAAAAACTCCTCAACGAGGGAAAAGACCAACAGGTAAGTGAGGTATGCAAACCCCAAAACAACCTTTATTTTATTCTGGATAATAAAATGACCTGCCAACCAGAGCTCATCTGGGGAGCAACCAATAATGCTCCCTAGGAAAGGGACATGCTAGGGTGAAAATTCTGAAGTGAACTTTAATAATGGCAGGCACGCCTTATAAAGGCAGCACTTTGGGGGCCTCACCCAAGTTATTGATTATGCTCTCACAAGCCTAATCTACAATTGGGTGAGGCACAACCCAGCGCCTAAAACAATCGAACCATTGATCTTTTTTTTAAATGAATCAGCTCAGTTTTGGAAAATCTGAATTTGAGCCAATATGCAACAATTGAGTCAAACTTGACCATTACACTAATGGTGGTGAGGAGATAAGAAGCAAATCATCATAATATTAAACATCTTAGTATTTAAATCATATCAAGGCTCAAAGTGAGTCAGACAAGAAAGTTATTATAAGCTGGGCATATCTAAATTAGGATATATGGGCTTTTGACCTATTCGATCTCTTGAGACTTGCCTTACTTCATTGTGAGGGCAGATGATGAGTCAATAGCTGGGAAGATGAACCTATTGGGCAGGGATTTAATATGTTTAGACCAATAAGTAGGCAAAAATATTTTCACCTGGTTGGACCCCCCTCCAGGGCTATAAAAAGGGACAGTTTCTGTAGTGAATTTTGAATTAAATTAGATATAGGATGTGGAGGGTCCTCCAAATGGCTCCCCTGATTCTGCCAACAATTCAGCATAGCCCTGCTACTAACTGTAGGCCTATTTGTCTGAGGAGTGGGTGAAATCATAATGCTCAAATTGAGGGGTTCCACTGAGAATTGTCCAGGGTCTTTTGGATGACATTACCCTCATCAACCTCTAAAACACCCTTCAAACAGTATTGGAATTGTAATTGTCTCACAAATGGGATTCCAAGACAGAGGCTGATTGGATAGAGAGTGAACAAATAGATGAGGCTGGTCAGGGATGTAGATGAAGGATTTTTAGGCTAAAGACCCAATAACTGAACATGAGATGGGAAAGGGGCAGCATGATACCCCAGGTTTATTCTACCAGTAGGGTTTCAGCATAAGAATCAGTTTTACAAGTAGGTGCAGTAAAATGCTAACAGTATACATTGGAATGATTCAAAAGGAAAAACAATGAGGGAAAAATTTGCATTTATCATCATGTTTTCCCAGAAGAAATTGATTTAGTGAAGAGGCCAAATGGGACTGCAGGGTATCTGCAGGGCAATATCTGCATTTAATGAGGTTTGGTTACAGTAGTTTGGGGAACTGCAAGGCGCTCA